GAACAAAATGTGGTATGCACACTAGCGGAAAGAGATAAGGGCCTGATAAAAACTTTATTTGATAAATATCTCGTACCCCTATTGTTTATACTACTACCGGTCATCTGCATTGGTAACTGGTAACGCTAAAAGGTCATGACCCCAGTAGGTGGGGTGTGGCCCAGGAAAAAGAAGTATGGAAACCCCTTTCAGACACATCCCTTATAACTTTACAACAAATTTTCATGAAAAGTTACCAAGAAAAGCAATTATGACGACTTTGTAAGATGAAATCAAATAGTTATAATTAATGAATTACGAAACTATGTTGTGTTTATTCAGTAAATGTCTCCGAAGTGATGAAGAATGTTTTTTAACTTTCGTTCAAGATTACAGGAACTTTTACTTGTTTAAAAGTGTTTTGTTTATTATTATTGTTAGATAGATAAAAGTAGACAAATTTTGAACATTTCTTGACAAAACTTTCTTATCAGCATTGTGAGACATGAACTTCAATGTTACATCGTTATCAGCTGCTGACATTAACTATTAGCCATTCTGTTAGTCCGGATTTTAGCTATCAGGAATATTGATGACGTAGTGCACAACTGACCTTGATACCGTAGTGGGCATGATGGCTTCGTCCCGCTACGATAGCGAAGTGTCAAAGGCTGAAACTTATGTTTTTATAAACATTTTATAAAGGTTTGTATAATTGTTGATTTTCAGTGGCTTGTTAATTTGGCATGCCGTGCCGAAAACGTGTTAGGTGCGCGAATATCGATTACGCAAGGTTAACTTTAAAATATCTACACTCGCGTAGCCTTGATTCGTGGATATAAGGGAAGTGCGGCAAAATTCCTTTTTTAAATGCATGATTTTATATTGTATACGCACTGATTATTTTATTCATTGATTCAGCAAATTGAAAATGCCTAATATTCCACTCATGAATGGAACGTTTGTTTACAGAAGCCATTTGCAATCATCACCTATTAGTGTGGCCACAAAATTTGACGTCACCTTGTTTCATGGATTACATAGTCGGTTACCTAATACCCCACTGCGGGGGGTACTGCACTTCGTCGGATTACTGACTTTGTTAATAAGTGACGTAATTGGCGGACGCTGTACCTCGGGAACACGAGCACCATCACAGTTAATGTGTGCTCGTTTAACGGGTCATTTGCACAGAAGTGAGGCGGAAGTGCTGGAAATGAAAACAAACCACTGTGCACGCGCAATGGTTTGTAACATCTCTCGCGCTTCCGCTGTACTGTGCCACACCCTCCCCATTCATTTTTATCCCACCGGCATATAATGCGGTGGGATATAGTCGTCGCCTCGTCCGTCCGTCCGTCCGTCCGTAATCATTTTGTTTCCGGACCATAACTCAAAGACCGTTCGATATTTTTTAACCAAAATTGGTAGATATGTCAAACATAACCTAAGGTGGTGCCTTTTGCTCTTTACAGATAATTGTCATTTTTATTTTTCTCGGTTTCCATGGAAACGTTTTGGACTTAGTCTTAAAGAAGGGTGGGCTTCGTTTCCGGAGCATAACTCAAGAACCATTCAATATTTTTCAACAAAACTTGGTAGATATATCAAACAGATCCTAAAGTGGTGCCTTTTGCTGGCCCATTTACAGATTTTTGGCATTTTTATTTTTCCGGTTTCCATGGAAACAATTCCGACTAAGTCCCAAAAGTGAGGGGTGGGCTTCAAGCTCGGAGCATAACTCAAGAACCAGTATAATATTTTTCAACAAAGTTGGTAGATATATCAAACAGAACCATGAGTGGTGCCTTTTGCTATTTGCAGATTTTGTCATTTTTATTTTCCCGGTTTCCATGGGAAACATTTTGGACTTAGTCTCAAAAATAAGGATTGCTTGCTTCGCTCAAGACATAACTCAAGAACCGTTCAATATTTTTCAACAAAACTTGGTAGATATATCAAACACATCCTAATGTTGTGCCTTCTGCTATTTGCAGATTTTTGGCATTTTTATTTTTCCCGGTTTCCATGGAAACGATTCAGACTTAGTCCCAAAAGTGAGGGGTGGGCTTCGTTTCCGGAGCATAACTCAAGAACCGTTCTATATTTTTCAACAAAAGTTGGTAGATATATCAAACAGAACCATGAGTGGTGCCTTTTGGTATTTGCAGATTTTTGTCATTTTTATTTTTCCCGGTTTCCATGGAAACATTTTGGACTTAGTCTCAAAATATAAGGATTGCTTTCGTTTCCGGAGCATAACTCAAGAACCGTTCAATATTTTTCAACAAAACTTGGTAGATATATCAAACAGATCCTACAGTTGTGCCTTTTGCTATTTGCAGATTTTTGGCATTTTTATTTTTCCCGGTTTCCATGGAAACGATTCAGACTTAGTCCCAAAAGTGAGGGGTGGGCTTCGTTTCCGGAGCACAACTCGAAAACTTCTCAATATCTTTCAGCAAAACTTGGCAGATATGTGAGGCAGATCCCAAAGTGGTGCCTTTTGCTATTTGCAGATATTTGTGACTTATTATTGTCTCGGTTTCCCTGGAAATGATTCGGACTTAGTCTCAAAAGGAAGGGGTGGGTTTCGTTTCCGGAGCACAACTGGAAAACTTCTTAATATCTTTCAGCAAAACTTGGCAGATATGTGAGTCAGATCTTGAAGTGGTGCCTTTTGCTATTTGCAGATTTTTGTCATTTATTTTTTTCATGATTTCCATGGAAACGATTTGCACTTAGTCTAAAATCAAGCTGGACTTTAAGTAACTGTCAGATGATTTGTTCTTTCAAAGATGTGGGGGCCGGGGGGATATGTCATCTTCTGATGACTCTTGTTTTTCTCGCCATTATTTCTTAGACTGACGAGTACCTGATGGATTGAAATGTGTTTCAATTGGATATGATAGGATCATACTGCCCTAAGGTAAAGTCAAACCCTAAATAAGAGTTGGAAAGGGTCCCTAACCCTACCCCTCTCCCAACTCTAACCCTAAGGATCGGACAGAGTGTCATACTCTTACCCAAAACCCTAACCCTAAGGATCGGAAAGGGTGCTAACCCTAAACCCTGAGGATCGTAAAGGTTCCCTAACCCTAACCCTAAGGATCGTCAAGGGTGCCTAACCCTAAGGATCGTAAAGGGTGCCTAACCCTAAGGATCGTAAAGGGTGCCTACCCCTAAACCCTAACCCTGGGATCATGAAGGGTGCCATACCCTAACCCTAAGGATTGGAAAGGGTTGTTTGACTCTATAGATGCAAAAGAAGGGAGACAGAGTAATTACGAGACAGCACTGGCGATAATTGCCCCTCAGCGAGCAGTGAGGGCTGTGCCCGGTAAATTGCATTCTAGCCCCCACTGCAGTAAGTATTGACACGAAGGAAAGCAGACAACGAGAAGTGAGAAAGTTTGAGCTAACGGTATCTTTTTTACTTGACATTTTGTAAAAATAAAATTTGGTAATAGTGGCATTATTGATCTGGGGCTATTTATCTCAATGCCGGACAATTAGATTTATCGTAATGCAGAGATTCGGATTTTTTTTTTTTTGTCAGCGAGGCATGGCATTGTATGTACATCAACAGTACCGCTTCATGACGTCATAGGGCGGTGGGGTAGCCTAGTGGTTAAAGCGTTGGCTCGTCACGCCGAAGACCCGGGTTCGATTCCCCACATGGGCACAATGTGTTAAGCCCATTTCTGGTGTCCCCCGCTGTGATATTGCTGGAATATTGCTAAAAGCGGCGTAAAACTAAACTCAGTCAGTCAGTCATGACGTCATATGAGACTTAATTGACGAGCTGGCATGATAATTACCGCGATCCACGAATCAAGGTTATCCACGACTTAAGGTTACAGTGCTGTATACACTTTTTCACATAATTATAAACATATAAAATATTCATATTAATGACCTTAATTATGTCTTTTATTAATAATATTGATATAATATGTAATTATCCCCCGCAACACGTTTTGCAGGGGGTATTAAAATGGTCCGTCCGTCCGTGCACATTTGTGTTTTCCGGATCAGAACTCTAAAACCGTTCACTATTTCTTCACCAAACTTGGCACATAGATAGATCTGGTGGTGTACTGGTGCCTTTAGGTAGTTTTGGAATTCTGAGTAAAATATTTTTGGCATTTCCATGGCAACAAGTTTGACTTAGCCTGAAATTGGTGGTTGTGCTCTTTTCCGGAGCAGAACTCTAAAACCGTTCAATATTTCTTCACCAAACTTGGCACATAGATAGATCTGGTGGTGTACTGGTGCCTTTAGGTAGTTTTGGAATTCTAAATAAAATATTTTTGGCCTTTCCATGGCAACAAGTTTGACTTAGCCTGAAATTGGTGGTTGTGCTCTTTTCCGGAGCTGAACTCTAAAACCGTTCAATATTTCTTCACCAAACTTGGCACATAGATAGATCTGGTGGTGTACTGGTGCCTTTTGGTAGTTTTGGAATTCTGAATAAAATATTTTTGGCGTTTCCGTGGCAACAAGTTGACTTAGCCTGAAATTGGTGGTAGTGCTCTTTTCCGGAGCAGAACTCTAAAACCGTTCAATATTTTTTCACTAAAATTGGCACATAGATAGATCTGGTGGTGTACTGGTGCCTTTTGGTAGTTTTGGAATTCTGAATAAAATATTTTTGGCCTTTCCGTGGCAACAAGTTTGACTTAGCATGAAATTGGTGGTAGTACACTTTTCCGGAGCTGAACTCTAAAACCATTCACTATTTCTTTACCAAACTTGGCACATAGATAGATCTGGTGGTGTACTGGTGCCTTTTGGTAGTTTTGGAATTCTGAATAAAATATTTTTGGCGTTTCCGTGGCAACAAGTTTGACATAGACTGAAATAGGTGATAGTGCTCCTTTCTGAAGCAGAACTTTAAAAACCTTTCAATACTCTCCTTCCACTTTTCTATGTACACACCTAAATATTTGACATAATCATAACTCGTAGACATAATCATGTAGAGTATTTGATGACTTTGTCTTCTTGTTAATTTTTAGATGGAGAACCCACGGCTGACAAGTGAGCACAATCACCCTGCAGACCCAACAGCAGTAGAAGCAGTGAAGTTCCGCACCAAACTCAAGGAACAAGCTTTAACTTCCAATGGTAAACCTGGTCAGATTCTACCCAACGCATTGCAGTCATATAAATTATCATATGGGGCTTTTGTCTGAGATGTCTGGAGCTTTTGCCCAAAAGTGCTTTTGTCCGAGGGGCTTCGGTCCTGCGGGTCTTTTGTCAGGCAATCATTATAACCAGTTAGGATAGTGAGAGGACCTTTGAGGTAGGACCTTTTCTATGCAATCAACAAGCTGAGTGAGCTGATGTCTCCTGTAGTAAGCCTTGATTGATGGATAATCCCAGCGCCTAGGGGCTGCAGGTGACTTGTTGGTGTTAGGAAGTGTATTGCCATTTGTGTATATCCCTTCTTAATGTTGATTACACACTTGCTTCTTCTTGCATTGCTGAAAGACTGAAAATGGTTCTTCCATTTGTCACTAATAATGATCAACCTGTTTTTTTGGCTCGCAGATATAGAAGACAATGTATGAATCGTGTTTAGTACCCCCTGTACCCTCTGAACCTTCCTGTACACAGAATCAAATAATAACCCAGGAATGCTACTATGTGCTGTTTTTGCTAAAGCCTTTGACATAATTACTAATGACAAACGGTCCTTTTTTGGGTTGTATTCATTATCTCCATGCACTGTCATACTGTGTGTTGAAATTCTTGCTTGGTTGGTTGCAAAAGAATAAAAAAATATGGCTTACAAATAAATGAAAGAAAATATGTAATTTTTCCGTATGCTGATGACACTGAATTTATAGCACTCTGTGGAAGTGTTAAAGAACCAATAAACTTTGTTTTTTGTTACTCTTTTAATGATTACATATGAAAGATTTGTGGTTAGTCTTATGCGGAACACCAAATTTTTTCTTTAAAAACTTGTGGTTAATTAATACCGAGCGATTAAAAGTGGCCAAAAAGTGGCCAAAAAGTCGCCTGCTTCCCTCTCGCCCGCCAACGAAACCACAGACAGGTTACGTAACTCTGTCGCCAGACCACTGCAGTGACATCATATGAGGAACGATTTACAGTTAGTTGTATAGAAAATGTGTAGCACGCTCATCATTTTGATGATTTCTCGACATCAACGCATTTTACATGTCAATAAGTTGCTTTGTCGTCAATTGCTCCTAGGGTCGTAGGCGATGGTGTCCCCATGCACAGATTTCCACAGGACCCGCTAATTGTGCTAAATGGGTTATGTTTGTGAGTGCGCGGCGGCGTTGTGGAAGCCTGAAACGATATCTTACTTGTGTTCAGATCGGCTTCAATGGAAGTTAAAAATCAAAACTACTTATTAGTTGTAGTAAAATATGCATATGATTGATGACCATAAAGATTTTCCATGACACAACTTGTAACATAACGATTTCTTCCTCGGAAGCGAGGTTGTGGTCGAAGTAACAATAATATTGTAAGTAGTATTATATTGACACCCACTGCCACGAGAGAAATTGTTATGTTATACGCTATGTCATGCAAAATCCTATTGGCCATCAATAAAATACATATTTTACTACCAGTAGAAAGTAGTTTTGATTTTAGAACTCGTGAAAACAAACCTAAATACCATTTATCCTCAGACTGGATGGATGTTCCGATAGGGGCGCCATTTTTAAAATAAAAAAATCTGTTAGAATTAAAGAGATTATAGTTTGTTTTCATCAAGTTAGAAAATCAAGACTACTTTCTACTCGTAGTTAAATATGTATTTGAATCATAACCAAACAGATTTTGCATGACACAACTTATAACATAACGATTTCTTCCACGGAAGCGAGGTGGGGGTCGAAGTCACAATTCTGCGCGATAAATTTCTTGCTACATTCCCATGGTTAATGTCCACTCACCAGTATGTAGATACTAGTCAATGTGCGTCTTTATGTTTGGTCTTATAATCCTAATTAGTTTATTATCATACTTGTATGCATTTTGAAACTTAATAAAAAGCTGACGATCTGCTGATACTTGTAGTGAATTTATAACAGAACTGTAATATCTAGACATTTTATAGTTTGCCAATGTGAATCATAATTCGCACACACACCCTAGTGCATGTTGTCTGTCTCATTACACTTCACGGCGAAAACAATGATTCTGTTGAATGCTACGACAAATGAATAAAAACAAAATGCAAATATTAAAATTAAAACAGATTAAAGTTATAGGAACAATATCAGGCCATTACCTTGTTCGAGGAATGTATCCATCAATATCCACAAAACTGTTCCAAATGATGTGTCTTAACAGTTTAATATACTCTGAAAAAGTGATAAATCTTTTCAGGTATTGGTGTATAGTCTCATTGGTCACCCAAGATAACACACCTGGCAACTAATTGCATAATGTCCGCCTTTCTTTAAAAACAGTAATTTAGTTAGCCAATAATGGGCAATCAATCAATGTATTGCCGGGTTAATCCTTTGAAAGAAGGACGTTGATTTTACGCATGAACACACTAACCACGACAGAGTGTATTCAGTATAGATTAGTAAATCTACATGCATAAACACTACCTTTTGACAATTCCGCTGTGTAAGATAAAAGTAATTAATCAATCAGCGTGTTATCGGTTAATCCTTTGATCGATGTTTATAATGTTGAATATTTACTCCAGACACAAGAAATGCCAAATGGGAACCTTTGTCGGGTAATCTAAGTGTGTTACCACTAATTATACCTGTTATAAATTCATTAACTGACCATCAAGTGAATAATGACAAATAACATGTGTAGGTTTATACCACCTAACACGGGTTACAACAAGGGGGTATTAATTGCTGTATTGCATGTGAAAACTTATGGTCTGACACTGTTTTGAGAATACAAACAGATTTTTACATGACATGATTAAATATCGAGGTAAAAAAAAACACAGAAATGGGATCAATTTGGATCAGTCTTTATACAAATAGTGCCTAACGACACCAATCGATTTTGACAGAATCGTCTATGAAAACAAGTTTTAACTCGGAAACTAGGCAAAGCAGGAGACAAAATTAAATGACAGTAGATTGTGAGAACATATAGCTTTCATTTTCCACAACAATTGTCACGATTTCAGGTTTATACAAGCCTGTAAACAAGATTATTTAACCCCTAAAATGTAGATGAATTCTGCATCGGCCCTCAAAGCTATTCTTCATATGACGTCACAGAGGCGCGCCGCTCTGATTGGTTGAAATTTCGTTCGCGGTTGAGAATTGTGCACTGTTGTCAAAAAGGTTGATTTAAGTCAATTAAAGGTCGAAATGAGTAGTTTTAATGACGGGGTTTCATTTATAACGATGCCAGTTAGTGATTTATGTATTTGTACCCCCTAAGGTTTATGTGACCTTTAAATGTAATGATAAGTCTATTTGTTATTACCATGTCATTTATGTTTTGTTAATACATAGATAAAGATGATCAACCCGCCATAGAGGATGACAGGAAGAAAATGAGTGCCCTAGAGGAGGCTGCAGTCCATTCATCACGTTTTATTCTGTGCGCACAGAAAAAGTTAGCTGAACCAGCACCAGGAGTGAGGCAACCATGTAATAGTCAGGGATTAGACGGAGAGAATCCTCAAGTGACTTCATCACGTTTTATTCTGTGTGCTCGTAAAAGAGAAGACGGACCAGCGCCTGGTGTGAGGCAACCAGGTAATCGTCAGGGATTCAGTTTTATTTCTACTTCCCATAAACAGTTTGCCAAACCATTAGCTGAAGCGATGGAACTAGATATTACTGCAGAAAGTGGAATAGGAAGTGAGAAGATAGACATAACCCAGAAGTTCGGTGGACTGGCAGGTGGAGTGATGACACTACAAGCAATCCCAAGAAGAGACATAAGGAAAGGTTGTATTTCAACTGACCAGAATAGAAATTTCACAGTTACAACTGTATCAAGTTCTACTCAACCTACATCAATGCTTGTATCTTCTGCCACCAAAGAAGCTGCAAAATCAGTAATTGAAGTGATGGAAACACAAACTTCAAGAGATGACTTAAGAAATGAGAAGGTAGACATGATGCCATCAATCTATATTCTTAATGCCCAGAAAAAGCCTGCTGAAACGATAGACCTGTCAGAGACCTCATCCAGAACTGACGAAGAGGAAGATGAGATTCACCTGTCTGTGGGTCACAAAGGAAGAAGTAAGTATTGCTGTGTCAAGTACAAGTATCCAAAGACATGTTTATTGGTGAATTTTTTGTTTTAATTTTAATCTTCAGTATTAGTATTAGTTTTGTGATACCTTATTTTAAGATCTCTTATCGTCCATTTAAGATTAGCGAACTCCCAGTCGCACAAACATTTTGACTTGTCAGGCACATGTTTACCAAAGGGAGATAAGCCTAAACGTATTGTCACAATTGGAGACCTACATACTGTCTTGATGTTGTTTACTCACCAGCTTCATTGCATTGCTGAAAAACTGGAAAAGGTTCTTTGTTCTTCCTTTCCTCACTAATGAGGATTGAACTGTTTTTTTTATGGCCAACAGATATAGAGGACAGTGTATGAGTTTTGTATGATACTCTCCTGTACACAGAATCAAATAATATCCCTGGAATGCTACTGCGTCTTTTGCTAAAACCTTTGACTGACTTGAAATCTCTTTCTTTCCTCAGTTTTGGACGTAATATACAAAACTGGCTAATGATATAAAATCCTGTTTGATTACTTGGGGTGGGTATAGCAGAGAATTTTCATACTGCGATATATTGCGATGCACAATATATTGCAAGAAGGTATTTTTAACAAGAAAACTACTTATTATAATCGAGTGGATGCTTGATTTATAAAGCAAAAACACAACAAAATCAAACTTTTTAATCATGACAAAATATTTGGCACAAATGGCACAAGGATCCCCACCCCTGGTGCCCAGACTTAGCTACAGTTGCCTGTTCCCTTGCCGAGCGTTTTCATTTCTGCACACCGCTGTGCGTCGCAGCTTTCAAGGCTTACATCAGCGCCAAGAAGAAATGCTTGTCGCAATGGAAGAGGAAGATGTCTTCTCCTGTTTCTTCTGTGGACTCTCGGTCTTCTCTTCTTCGAATGCCGCATGGACACTCCTCTCCTTTGATAGATAAGCCGACTACCCCTGCGCCGCGTATGCTGATGCCTGAAGCCAAGCGCCGTCTGACGCCTGTGTTGACTTATCTCAGCCGGACGCCTTGTCTCATCCGGAGGTACAGAAGCTGCTTCGGATGCTCCTCTTGCCTGCAGCTGTTGGTGTCCAAGCTAGCACCGTTCCAGCGCCGCTGCCTAGCATTGTCCCTGCACCGAAGCCTGTGGACCTGTTCTACTGTTGCTAGCTTATTGCATCAATCAGCGCCTCCCCCGATGCCGGCGCCTATGCCAACACCTTTGCCGACGCCTATGCCCTTGCCGACGCCAGCGCCAACGCTGACGCCTTTTGCAGTCTATCGTATCCCCAGGAAGGCTACTGTGTCTAGAGAGGAGGAATTACAGCGTCAGTTATGGGAAGAGCGTTCCCGACGTCAGGACGCCGAGAGCTCCCGTCGTTCTCGGTGATCTCGTTCCCGGTCTTCTCGTCAGCATCATTGGTCTAGGAGTCCCCGTCATAGTTCTGCTTTTTCTCATCGCCGTCGTCGGTCTGCATCAAGGTCTCCCTCTCCCAGACATTCCAATGATAGGGAGAGGCGTTCACGGTCACCGATGCGTGGGAGGCGATATCGTCGGTCCCGTTCAAGGTCACCTCCTGTTCACCGCTCGCCGTGACGAACCACGTTCCCCTACAGTTACTTTTAGTGCTGCTTCTCAGTTGTCATCTGAGCGCCCAACGCCTGCTGCTTTTGGTCAACGGTTTAATACACCTACCATGTCCTGGGAGGACACTGAGGAACGCTACTTTTCTCCCGATTATAACGAGGCGATGTTGCAAAGAGGATGATGATGGGGGCACTTACCTCCCCCTCTGCTGTGTTCGAATGGATTGCCGACAGACTGCCGGATTGTCCTTCTCCCTCTTCAGGATCAGCCAACCCGAGCTATTCGGTCTTCTCCTGAGTTACTCCTCCCGCCACCTCACCTGATGGTGGCGATGCTGTGGCTTCTTTGGACGCTGACTTTGCTACACTGTCTCTTAATACTACTATTAAGCCCTAAGTCAGCATAAAGGGGACTATAAGATACATAGTTTGGATTTCGCTGATTGAGGCGGCTCATGATGAATCCCTCAAGCGCTTATCGGGTTCCCCACAGGCATCTTAAGTGCAGGACTCCAAGATGTTGGCTATTGATGCAGAGCTCTCAAAGCCGGATGTTGAAGCCTGTTTTCAGCGTTGGCCTCGACAACCCTCGGGCTGCAGGTTGGGGATCTGACGGAAGACAACACATCAAGGTTAGAACATCTTACCACCCTGTTTCAATGGCAGGGTAAGATGTTACATGATTTGCTGGCACACCTCGGGACGGATTTGGCCATGACGACAGTTGTTAGGCGGATGGGATTCCTTGAGCCCTGTTCTTGGCAGGAAGAGTTTAAAGGAAGCTGTTAAGAGACCCTTTTGCATCTCATTTCCTCTTTGATGACAGGATTCGGAGGTTTATAAGGAACACGCAGAGCTTACCAATACTGAGGTTTCTGTGTTCACGTTGAAAACCTTGAGCTCGGCCTTCGTGGCAGGTCGCCTACAAGGGCGTGGCCGTGGCAGATCGAACCAGTTTTTCAGTGCCGCCAGCAGGAGCGCCCCGGGACCCCCTTCGACGCCCGGCAAGGTAGGGGAAGCACCCTTACTCCGTCGCTGAAGTTTTGACCCAACACGACTGTGACCTCCCGCCCCAGCCGTGCGGTTCGTCCCTATTCCAGTAGGCGGGAGACTGGGGATCTTCTGGCCCAACTAGATAATCCTGGAAGACCCGTTTGTGACCAACATTCTCAAGACCCGGTTACAAGCTGCCAATCGCCGTAATGTCGCCGCCTCTGACTACAACGCCCCAGTGGGCGCTGCAGGTGTATGCTCCAGACCAACAGTTACTGCTAGCAGACAGCATTCACACTCTGCTATGCAAACAAGCTATAGAGACAGTGCTAGACCCCCAACAGTCCCGGGACTCTACTCACCCATCTTCCTGGTTCCCAAGAAGGACTCAGTGAAAGTAACGCATGATTCACAACATGGCAGTTTTCAACCACCTTTATCTTCGGAACCGCCTCACTTCCGCATGGTGTCCCTGGGACAGCTACGAGCCAAGCTTACGCCCGGGGTTTGGTTGGCCAGTCTCGACCTTCAGGATGCCTACCTGCATGTGCCCATCCAGAAAATATCAGTGGATAAAAAAGTTGTTTACAGAAAAAACTTGTTCAATAAAGGTGTGTGACAAATTTGTGGTATTGTAAAGGAACTTGGAGAGTGTATAGACCATGATGAGATTATAATATGTCTAATCTGAACACTTCCTTTCAAGAGTATTATTGAATTACAATATCAATTCAAAAATACTTGAAACTTTTGAACATTGTCAAAAAGAAATGGCAAATGGCATGGAGGCATCTCCATGGAAACAGTTGATATGCTCTGTTAAGAAAGTTTGTTATAACATCCTAAATGTTGAAGTTTCAATGTCTAAGTGGGCAAACATATTTGGTTCTTCATTTATTTTCTAAGCAAAAAGAAACAAAGTTAAGGTGGTTCCAGTACAGAATTTTGCACAGAATATTAACAACTAATATCTTCTTGTATATTATCAAGGTTCAGGATTGGGAAGGCTGCTCATAGTGAAACAGGAGGCGGTGGGGTATCCTAGTGGTTTAAGTGTTCACTTGTCACGCTGAAGATCTGGGTTCAATTCCTCACATGGGCATATTGTATGAAGCCCATTTCTGGTGTGATATTGTTGGAATATTTCTAAAGCAGCATAAAACTAAAACTCAATCACTCACTCATTATGAAATGAACATAGAGAAATTATATCCCATCTTTTAGAATGAATTCATATACATAACTTGAACTTATAACATGAACTGGTTATTATGCGATGTAAAGAGAACATTATCACTGACTCTGTATTTGATCTTTTCCTAATCCTGCCCAAGTATTTTGCATATAGATGCAAGGTTCCTGACTTTCAGCATTTTAAGAGGGAGCATCAAATTACATATAAAAGTGAACAGACAATTAATCATAATAGCAATTCTATGAATAGGTTTAATACCTAGTGGATTATGTATCACTCTCTTTTTGATGAGAATTATGTCAATCATGTTGGTTTAACTTCGAGTATATATATCATGATGTATTGTAAACATAAGAGATGTTATATTTGGGATTACACTTTCTCAGTAAAGTACAGTTGTCTAATAGTTGTCAGCTGACTAACCTGACCCACTCAACCACCTGTGTAATTGTGGAAGCCGCGATGGCTGAGTGGGTTAGTCGGCTCACTTTGTGTGCTGACAGTTAGGAGCCAGACTCTGAGGGTGCGGGTTTAAATCCCAGATGGGACTTAACCCAATAAAAGTACTACAATCTGTCCTTTACTGAGACAGTGTTATCCCAAAGAGACCGAAATATACCAAGCATGATAATTGACAACTTTCTAAATGGCATTGTGTATTCATATTACCAAGAGACAGACCTCCTAAATGTCATTCATGTTTGGCTGTCGAAGTGAGACAAAGACATAGACCTTCTGAACACGAGTCAATTGTGGATGTTTCAGGGAGAGAAAGAAGTACACCTTGTGAACACAAAACAAATATGGCCTCTGCAGGAAGAGCGAGAGTTGGTCCTCCTAAGTATGACCCCCTCATGTCATATGATGGTAATTATTACTCTTATATTACAGTGACGTGCAGTGAGTGAAAGTTCGAAATCAGCTTCATGGTGATTTACATACACATAATTTCGATTCAATTTTCCCATGATTGTTAAGAAAACTGCAACCATTTAAACAAGATATATTAGACATACCAATCAGGTTTAACATGGCTGTCTATCTGATAGATTAAGATCAAGTTGTACTTATTGTGCTTAATCAGGTTTCATCTCGATAACTATTCAACGGAAAGATGAAAGAAAATTATGAACACGTAGCTGAAGCTGATTTCCAAGATTGTTTGCAAAATGTCAGAATAAAATGACTTCTACTCAATTGGCAAAATAAAATTACCAAAATTTATGTCAAAACTACAGACAGACAGGTTTATTTCATAAATGTGGCCATGAGGCCAATAGTACAAAATGACAACTTAGATTAAACTTTTTAAGAGCACCTGGACATGATTTTGTTTACAAAAAATGCTAGACGGAGTATCATATTATGGTTCTTAGTATTTAGAAGATGTACAATTTTTTGTTTATTTGGGTTCATAATATAGGTACTTGGTATGTAGTGAGTTCTTATCGCTGCATAAAAAGGACATTTTTACACATCATACTCATCTTCTAGTACACTTTTCGACTATGCTTGTCGTAAGAGGCGACTAACAGGATCGGGTGGTCAGGCTCGCCGACTTGGTTGACACATGTCATCGGTTCCCAATTGCGCAGATCGATGCTCATGCTGTTGATCACTGGATTGTCTGGTCCAGACTCGATTATTTACAGACCGCCGCCATATAGCTGGAATATTGCTGAGTGCTGCGTTAAACTCAACTCACTCACTCACTCTAGTACACTTTTACAATAATCGCACATAGCTACACTAATGTCATTGTCTTTAGATCTTCTATAGGAAACTATTTTCGAATTGGTGGAGCCGCATCTGAATTTTGTTAAGACTCTGCTCTGATTTAACGTAAGAGAGAGTGGAATCAAGTACAATTCGAACAGTATCAGATATAAAGGCAGAATATATATGTAATGATTTTGAGTTTCTTTTTGTCTTGTGTCCATTCTTGGTAGTACATGTCTTTACAACGTTGTTTGAAAAGATTTAAAACAATTCCCCTAGTTTCCAACTTTGATATATCCATACATAAGCAAAGCCATGTTGAAATAATATTGATCATTACTGCGAAGCCCAGTTATTATCTCCATTGTCGCTCTAAACATTTTAACACATCATACGAGTGGACGTGTGTGTCAGGTCGAGAGTGCATACAGAACTAAAACAACTTGTGTCATATAATTTACATGTAAAAGGTATCTCCCATATTCGGCTAAAACTGCCTTGTTCGGTGTGTGAGTCAAAACTACTTTCGGTTTGATGTTTATAATAACTTGTTCTTCCCCTTTTGATATAAAGGCAAGGGTAGGAAAGAAGTAGCCTAGCTAGGCCAGAATATCCCCCTTTTGATATAAGAACAAGGGTGGGGAAGAAGTAGCCTAGCTAGGCCAGAATCTCCCCCTTTTGATATAAGAACAAGGGTGGGGAAGAAGTAGCCTAGCTAGGCCAGAATCTCCCCCTTTTGATATAAGAACAAGAGTGGGGAAGAAGTATCCTAGCTAGGGCCAGAATCTCCACACTTTGATTTCAGAACAAAAGGGTGGGGAAGAAGCATCCTAAGCCAAGCCAGAATCTCCCCCTTGATATAAGAGCAAGGGTGGGGAAGAAGTAGCCTAGCTGAGCCAGAATCTCCCTTTTGATATAAGAGCAAGGGTGGGGAAGAAATAGCTAGGCCAGAATCCCTTTGATATAAGAACAAGAGTGGGGAAGAAGCATCCTAGCTAGGCCAGAGGGCCAGAATCTCCCTCGCTTTGATATAAGAACAAGGTGGGGAAGAAGTAGCCTAGCTAGGCCAGAATCTCCCTTTGATATAAGAACAAGAGTGGGAAGAAGTATTCTAGCTAGGCCAGAATCTCCCTTTGATGTAAGAACAAGGGTGGGGAAGCAGTGGCCAAGCTGGGCCAGAATCTGCCCCTTTACGGACAAAATATCCTAGTTTGAACAAGGGAGAAACTTGGGGGGCTTTAGCCTAGCCCAAACTTTCCCAGGGTAAGAATATCCTAGGGACAAAACTTCCAAGGTGGGGGTAAGAATATCCTAGGACAAAACTTCCCCAGGGAAAGTTTGGCCTAGGCCAAATTCTGCCGGGGAAAGTTTTGACCGGGAAGAAATGGCCTACTACACAGGTATATATAGGAGCGCAGTATCTGTCAACATATCAAAAGCTTTTTATAAATCAACTCTAAAATACTATAAATTTTTCCACGCTTTTCCTTATGTACTTGTGGATAATGGAATTTAATACAAATATTTGGTCAACAGTACTGTAGTCTCTCTAAACCCTGCTTGAGACCCAGAAATTATATCCTGTGTAAAGTTTTATACGTGCATTTAGAATACTTGTGAATTCTTTGCTAATTATATCAAGTTGTTATTGGGATCCTCTCTATCTCCCGCTTTATGTAACAGAACAATAAGACCAAGGTTCAAAGAATCTGAAAAATTACCAGCGTTGAGAATCTCTTTGAAAAGACGTTTATATAGAATAACATCAGCCCCAAGAGATTTACCACTTTTCAGATTCTTATCTGCATTCAAAATGTCATCATTTGAGATGTTTGTCATCTAAGATATTGTCACAATCTCTGCATTGTTCACACAATTAACAACATCATGATTTTCAAGAAACATTCGTACATGTATATCAAACTGTGTGCAATCTGTTAGAGGGTGGAAGAGGTTAACAAGTGTTTATGCCACTTATCTGGGGTGATGTTTGTTTGTAGGCTGGTAGTGTTACAATCCGTCTTGACGACTTCCTCAACTCTTTGCATGTTTTACCTTAGGCTGTATTTACAATTTCCTCTGCCATATTGTTTTCAAAAGTACTTATTTTCTGTTTACATAAAGCTTACATATTTACAGACTGCTGCCATATAGTTGGAAAATTAGTAGCAAAACAAACAGTAATAAATATCAGTACATTTTGGAATCAACATGATCATAAACGCCTTACCCACCCATGTAATATATAACTTATAACCCACCCATGTAATATATGACTTATAATACATGTTGTTATCTTTACAGATTTTGTATTGTAAATTTTTGTTAAAAAGGGATTTAATTACTTGTTAGAGTAACAGAATTGTTATTTGTATTTACAACTTGATTGTAGATGAAGATCACGAAGTGAAGATGGACACAGGGATGAAATCTAACAGAGGAAACATCAAGTATTGATGACCAGTTTAGACTTGGGAGAGAAAGATGGAGAGAGCCAGTACAGTGTTTAATTCACCTTCAGTCGGCAGAGCGCAGTGTAGAGAATCCACCAACCACAGTAATCGCATTGGAACATGCCAAATGGAGTATTCATAACAGAAAGTGAAATGGGAAGTAGCCGAAAAGCTTCTCTCACTAACATGATTCTGAAACCAAGGGTACATATGTCGTGATGAAGTGAATGAGTATCTTTACAGGCAAATTGTGGGAATAAGGAATCCAATAGAATTTTGTTGTCCAAAAAGAATTAAAGGAAAGAAGTGTATTGATTATGAACCAAAGTTTAACAAAAGGATAAGGAACAGACACCAGCACCTTTGTATATAAACGAAAGCCAGTTTATCTGTCTCCTAGTGAGGCAAGAGCTTGTCTGTCCAGTAAACCTGGAGGAAATATGGCTCCAATCCATACAGGTTTACAGTGTAAAATTGTTGCAAAAGCTAAGAAAAATGTGCCATGGGCCAAAAAGATTGGAAATCAGAACATATCTGGTTCAATGGATACTAGAATTGGACATTTTACAAAGACAATGACTAAATTACACTTAAAGGCTGATTTGTGCGCACCGATCCTTCTGAAAAGATGGATAAGGAACAAGAGCCAGCTCCAGGAAAGAATGGCAGGAAGAGAAGAAAGGTTGTGACTCCTGAAGAAAGCTTAGGAACAGGTGAACAGGGCGAAGAAATAGAACAAGCTGATGGACACAACAAGACAGAAGTAGTAGATGAAGAACAGGTGTACATTGATGAAGAACAGTACATTGATGAAGATTGGACTGAAGAATGTCAGGAAGATGACGATGAGTTTGTAGAACAGAAGGAAGATGAACATTTGGTGGTAAAAGAACAAATTGTAGTAAACAGGGAAGTACTAGAGAGAATGTTGAAAAGGAAGAAGTAGATCAGATTGTGAGTAAATAAGGAAGTACTAGAGAATGTTGAAAAGGAAGAGGTAGATCAGATTGTGGTAAATAAAGGGGTAGTAGAACAGAATGTTGAAAATGAAGAAGTAGATCAGATTGTGGTAAATACGGAGGTAGAAGAGCAGAATGTTGAAAAGGAAGAAGTAGATCAGATTGTGGTAAATATAGAGGTAGTAGAACAGAATGTTGCCAAAAAGAAGTAGATCAGATTGTGGTAAATATAGAGGTACCTAGGGCAGAATGTTGTCAAGGAAGAAGTAGATCAGATTGTGGTAAATAAAGAGGTACTCAGGAACAGAATGTTGCCACGGGAAGAAGTAGATCAGATTGTGGTAAATAAGGAGGTACTAGAGCAGAATGTTGTCAAGGAAGAAGTAGATCAGATTGTGGTGGGGTAAATCAGGAGAGTACTAGAACGGAATGTTGCCAAGGAAGAAGTAGATCAGATTGTGGTAGAAATAAAGGGTACTAGAACAGAATGTTGCCATGAAGGAAGAAGTAGATCAGATTGTGGTAAATGCGAGCATTACTAGAACAGAATGTTGCCAAGGAAGAAGTAGATCAGATTGTGGTAAATAAAGAGGTACTAGAACAGAATGTTGCCAAGGAAGAAGTAGATCAGATTGTGGTAAATAAAGAGGTACTAGAACAGAATGTTGCCAAGGAAGAAGTAGATCCAGATTGTGGTAAATAAGGAGGTACTATAGGAGCAGAATGCCAATCCAAGGAAGAAGTAGATCAGATTGTGGTAAATAAAGAGGTACTAGAACAGAATGTTGCCAAGGAAGAAGTAGATCAGATTGTGGTAAAATAAGGAGGTACTAGAGCAGAATGTTGCCCAGGAAAAGTAGATCAGATTATTGGTAAACACGGTGCTACTCAGAACAGAATGTTGCCAAGGAAGAAGTAGATCGGAGATTGTGGTAAATAAAGAGGTACTAGAACAGAATGTTGTCAAGGAAGAAGTAGATCAGATATTGAGTAAATAAAGAGGTACTAGAAACAGAATGTTGCCAAGGAAGAAGTAGGATCAGATTGTGGTAAATAAGGAGGTACTAAGAGCAGAATGTTGTCTTCGGCGAAGAAGTGAGATCAGATTGTGGTAACACGGAGGTACTAGAACAGAATGTTGCCAAGGAAGAAGTAGATCAGATTGTGGTAAATAAAGAGGTACTAGAACAGAATGTTGTAGCGAAGAAGTAGATCAGATTGTGGTAAGCAATAAATGCAAAGACAGGGTTGTGAATAGGAACAGAATGTGGTAATGGGTGCACAAGTGGATTGTAAATTTTCTGCCAGATGAAGGACAATTTGTTTTACAGGAGGTAGATGAAGACCAGATAATGAAAGATGTAGATAAGATTGTCTCATCTAAAGCTTTGGTAAAACAGAATGTTGTAAAGAAGGAAGTAGATCAGATTTGGTGGTAAATAAAACCTGATGAAGACCAGTTTGTGGAAAGTGGGAAAGATGAACAACAGTCTCTTGAGCAGAGGTTTGGAGAAACATCTGTTGTACAGAAGAAAGATAAAGGACAGGAAAAGGCAGAACAGTATGTTGTGCACATGGAAGAAGATTGGGTTGTAGTACTGCGGAAGAGGAACAGTCGACAAGAGAAGTGGAAGAAGAAAAGTTTGAGTTTACAGGGACAGAAGTAGAACAGTTGTTGGTAAATGGGGAAGAAGAAAAAGATTGTAATGGATGAAGAAAGCTGATTATGGTAAACAAGGAAGTTCAAGAACAGAATGTGATAAAGAAAGCAGAACATATTTGGATACAGGAGGAAGAAGAAAGATTGTATAGTGGTAGATCAGGAAATTGAAGGACACAATGTGGTTAAGGAAAAGAGCTGAAAAGGTTGTGGTTCAGGATGCTGTAGATGATTGTATTGTCATTGAACAGGAAGGAGAACCCAGTGTGTGGTAGAAGGGGAAGAGGTACAACAGAATGTTGTAATAATAGTATAAGATGAGTGATAGGCTGGACCAAAATCAGTGGTGACCAATGTGATTTATAATGATATACCAATATACCTCAAGACTATGTGCCAACTGTAGCAGAACAGTAAATAAGACTGATTTAATTGATACTGATTAAATCTTGTTGCTTTTTCCACGAGGGATCACAATTTTCTTTGAAGCCATTTTGTGTTTTGAGAAGCTTCAGAAGAGTGAAGCATTTTACCGCTAAATTCTAAATGAAAGTTGTGCATGTGACAATGTCTGCAACTGTTTTGGCAAATATAAAACATCAGTGCCAGCTTCAAATACTCAGTCTTGACTATCCTTGTAATGGACTCCACTCAGTGGAAAGGACATGGAAACCGTGAAAATCATGTGAATGAATCGCTAAAATTCAGCCGATAACAATCCCAGGTGTTCATGAAAAAGGGTAATCATTTTCTGTCCCTCCTGTAGCATCCGCCATTAGCAATGGTGAAGAAATGTATTTCAGTCCACAATCGCAAGGCAAAACCAATATTTAATTAAACGCGGTGTGCTTTCACAACACAGAAATGATAAACATACCTAATAATGGTGTTGGTAACTCCGTTCCTATATTGCATCTACAGACTGCGAGGACAAAATGTCAATGGATGATGAAATGCATATACAGTACGCACAGATAAGATCATTTGACCCGCCATAAACAAAGTGATATTGAGATAATGGCATGGATGGATTTACCATTTTGGGGTGTGGAACAGTTGACTACCCTTTGTATTACGTTTATGATGGGTGCCACCGTTTATGCAGGATACACTCTCGCCTTTGGCTTAACACCCGGTATCATCACAATTTTATAGTGATTCATAGACACATGCTCTGTCATCGTGATCTCGTCTTTGTCAGTCACTGGATTGTCAGGTCCAGATATGCGTTTCTGTACAGACCTCCGCCATACAGATGTCACATTGCTCCAGTTAGGGCGTTAAAAAGACTCACACAAAATAAAACACTTGCTCATAATATAGTATGTTACAATCGACTAATTATGATGTGTAGTGGAATTTGTCTTCAGTAACCCATGCTTGTTTTAAGAGGTGACTGACGGGATCGATCTATGCTGTTGATCACTGTATTGTCTGGCCGCATTATTTTACAGACCCCGCCATATAGCAGAAATAATAGTAAAAATAACGGAGAAACAAACAAACATCACGAAACTTCTCGAACAATCAAACTGCTCATGTTTGCCAAACAACCAAGAGAGGCAACACTCCAAGTCGACGCTTCCTGATAACCTGTAGTCGATATTTTACGAGCGTTTCATTAATTTGCAAAAGACATGGAAAACAAATTTAGGACAACATTTTTCCATTTCTGGATGAAATGTCATAGTCTTTAATAGTCTTATGATGTCAAGTTGATTCTCAACTTGAAACGCCTTCGCCATCCGCAGTTCAAAGAAAGTCATAAGGTATATCATGCTGTTCCCGCAGCATGACAACTGCAGCATGATATTCATAATAACAGACCGCCTCCGTGGTGTAGTGGTTAGAGCGTCCGCCCGGAGAGCTGGAAGGTCGCGGGTTCGATCCCCGACCGCGTCATACCAAAAGACGTTATAATATGGTACTTGTTGGTTCCTGCCTGGCGCTCGGCATTAATGAGTACAACAAGGACTGGTCGGCTCGGAGTCAGTATAATGTGTCCGGAGTGCGGTGGTCATGCTTCACTGCGGCATGGTATCTCAGTGGGCTAGCACTATAAAACCAGCCTAAGTCTGGGCTAGTACGCTGACGCACGTACACATAAACACGTATGCATCGTCGTCATATGAGCGAAATATTCTCAAGCACGACGTTAAACCCACTTCATTTCACCTCACCTCACCTCAGAATAACATGTATCCTTTGCAGCATGTATTGCTTATTCTCCTGCTGTGGTATTGGGCAACGTCTGCGAGGCGTGGGGAGTAAAACCACACAACACGCCAAACGCTTTATATACCAGTTGCAAGTTCCAGATGTATTAGCAACAGTGAGTGAGAGGAGTTTAGTTTACGCCGATTCTAGCAATATTCTGCAATATTA